GGGCTGGGGAGGGAGCCTGGGGAGAGGGTGACCCGGGGAGCGGGGCTGGTGTGGTCCCAGGGCTCAGGGAAGCAGAGTGGGACTGCTGAGGTCCCGGGACTCGGGGAGCAGAGCGGGGCTTCACCTGTGGCCGGCCCTCCTGGCCCTTAGCAGTGGCGGGGTGCCCCAGGGAGCAGCCCCAGCAGCTGCCGTGGGGACAAAGCAGCCCTTTTCTGGAGGAGGGAGGCAAGCGCCAGAGCTGGGCCGGGGGATGCTGGACTGCCCAGCTGGCTGGGAGCGGTGCTGGGGAAGGCATGGGGCTGTAGAGCAGCTGCAGTAGGACAGAAGCCGCCCCCGGTGCCGAGGCACAGATGTGCAACCAGCTTCTGTCCCTTCTCAGTCCTCGTGGTCCCAAGGGAAACGTGCCTGGGCTGGGGAGGGGGGCAGAGATGGTGCCCCAGGGCTGGGGCTGTGCTGGAGCAGGTGCTGTTAACTGAGCCCTGCAAGGGGAACGGCTGCTATCCCCCTCCCTGCTCCTGGCTGAGCCTCTAGCTCTTCTGTTCACCCCTGATTGCTCCTTACACGACACACAGGCCTGCAAGGGTAGCCATAGAGGACTGAGCTGAAGGGCAGAGAGCCAAATATTTGCAGCCTGTAGAAAATGAAGAATGTGAGCCTTATAATGAGGTGATGTGTTGGAAAGTCTCTTTCACTCAGCACATAGCGAGTTCCTGGGGCAAGATTACGTGGGGCTTCTGATGGGCTTGACAGGTAGATGAGATGTAAAATTGGTCTTTAAAGGAAAAAAAAAAAGAGCCCACTTTTTGTGCAGTTTCACTCACCTTCTTTCATTACAAGTTCTTGATGAAATGCTTCTGTATGGATGCACTGTACCTGCAGGAAGGGGCTTCTCGTTCCCTGGATGTCACTCTTGTTCCTGTGAGATGCAGAGCTGCAAGCAGGCAAAAGCTGTGGATACAGTGAAAGCTGCATTGGCTCTGGTGCTGTGGGTGGGTGTGCGATCTCCTGAAGCTGTTAGTTCTGCACAGATAGCCACTCTCCACTCACACTAGCCACTGTCTCCAGAAATACAGAGGGTGCAGCCCCAGCCCTGCCGCCGTGACTAGCGCAGCAGGAAGCCCAGGCGTTCCTCAAGTGCCCTGGTTGCTGCCTTTGTTTCTGTGTGGTGCGTATGGGGATACTGCAACAGCCTGCCTTCATATGTCAGCCCTATGCCTGAGGCAGGAGTTGCAGGAAAAGGCTGAGAGAAGTACTGTGGTCTCAGGGAGAGAATTTAGCTTTAAACATCTGTTTTTTTCCAGGGTATTTTTAGCATAGGGTGATGGCAGGAGAGATGAATTCCTGGGATATCCTTTTGGAAGCAGTGGAGGATCTGGAGCTGAACATGTTCAAGAAGTTCAAGCTTAAATTATCGCATATTGATTATGAAGGCACGGACAATCTGTCCAGAGGTTTACTGGAAGAAACCGATGATGCAGTCAGGCTTGCTGACTGCATGTGTGAGCACTATGGACCAGACATTGCTGTGGAGGTAGCCACCTGTGTGCTGGAAGGGATCAATCAAAGAGACACTGCAGCTAAACTGAAGCGAAAGAAACAGCAAGGTGAGGAAATGAGAGGTTATGAATATTTTTTCTTTTTTTCTCTTTAACTGGTCCCTGGAAAAAGTGCAAGTGACTTCTTAGCAGTGGTGAGAGAACAATTTTCAAGTCCTGGGGAAGTGGGAGGAGAGAAATCCAGTGCATTCCTTCCTAGGGGAAGGAACTGCAGGGACTCCTTCCTGCTGCTGCTCTACAGGCCCCTTTCAGGGACTGCTGTTCTGATTCTTCTCTTTCCCCCTGAGGTCCCCCATGCCTGACCCACAGTGTCTGTCCTCAACAGCAGGACAACTCCTTGATCAGATGAGGCGGGTTGAGGCCCACAGCCCAGGCTTTTGTCCTGCTCCAGGAAGGAAGTGTGGTCCTGTGTGGGAGCTGGGGGTCTTCGGTAGGAGAGGGGTTCCCTCCTGATGTGAAGGCAGTGCAGCGGGTGTCTGCTGCCTTCACCCCTGTCTGTCAGAGGGTACTGGGATATGGGATGGATGGTAAGGGTTAGGGCATGAACCCATGTGCTTTCCCTTTGGTTGTGTCTGAGGAGGCTCTGGTTGTACCTGTCTGGGGCCCTGTGCTGCAGGAGTCTGCAGGAGGCCAGGGATGATACCTTTGGCCCCAGGAACATGAGCAGAGAGGAAGGAGAGGCTGTAGGGGATCCCAGACTATTGTGCTCAGCACAGGGGTGGATCCTGATATAGTTTCAAGACAGACGGGGAACAGGCTTCCTGCTTTTGTGACTTTATAACCTTTATGGCCTAAAGTCCAAGGCTCTGATGCATGTGGGAGCTCCTCATGGGGTGTCTCAGGTGAATGGCTTATGAGAAGATGCGGTGCTTGAACTCTGTCTCAGTAGCCTAGTCTTGTGGAAGAGAGAAATAGAAGTTCCCTGGCCTTTGTGTTCTGAGCGAGGCAGGAAGACAACATGGTATGTTTCCAGGCTTTTGTTTTTCTTTGAAACACCAGAATTTGGCACTCTTGGTTTTATCTAGAGAACTCAGGTAGGGAGAATGAAGGTCTAGGGGCTAATCCCAGCCCAAGGCGTGGAGGGAGGTCTTAAACAATGAAAGAGGAAGAATTTTAGCTCGATGTTTTTTCCCGCCCCTTCCCATAAATGACTGCAGAGTGTCCCTTTTACTGGCCTGCCTTTTGATTCCATCATGTCTGCCGGCCTTGCATGCTGTGTGAGCCTCGGAGGCCAGACCCATTCCCAGACCTTCAGTCACAGAGCAGTTTGGGTGCCCACTGTGTGTCCAGCACACAGATGCACCTGCATAGGCACCTTTTACAAAGCCCTGTTGAATGAGCTGGTGTGGAGGGCTTCATGCTGAGCCAGCAGGAGTGGAGAGTTGCACATGGAACTAAGAAAGCTCTTAGAGCAGGTCTCAGCTGAGACCTTCAGGAAAGGCAACATGGAGCAGAGGTGTCAGGCCTGATGTTTCTTTGAGAGAAATAATGGCAGGTTGAAAGAAGAACTCTGGGATCTGCCTGGGTATTCAGGGGGTGGGGAGCATTCACAATGCTGATATGCCAGCATCAGTAGCAAATCACTGACTTTGCAGTGTCCTCTGGGATTTTAGGCAAGCTTAGGCAAAGACTGGGCCCTGGAGGAATCTGCTGCCCCTGAGCATTGTCCATAGGATGCTGCTGCATGAAAATGCTAATACACATGTTCAATTCCTGTTTCAGCTCTGGGTCCTGGAACATCAGCTGAAGGTAAGCGCCACTTCAGCAGAAACCATTGCGCTATGTGATGCCATCTCAGCCAGGAGACAACAGTGCAGAATCATCTGTCCACGTAGGGAATGCAAAGGAAGCTTCAGATTATTCTTCCTTTGCAGAGTTTGAGAGAAGAGAGGTGATTCAATGGGCAATAGCTAAGCAACTTTCATTATCATCTATTTATTGCAGTGGAGATTGGTCAGAGCACTGTTAACCATTCATCTTCTATTTGAGAAATGAAACTGGAAGTCTGCTTCTTTACTAGAGATGCCACAATGCTTTATAGGAAAAGGAGTATGCTTAGCAACTCTATTCCAACTAAATCCTCAGCTGTCTTTCCCATGAAGGCATTCTTTCCCAATGGGTCCCATCCTCTCAACCTGACTGTACCTAATGGAGATGTGTAAAGAGGAGCTGGTCGCCCCCACCTTCCTTAAGTAAAGCATAGAGATGCCTGTTCAGGGGGGTGTTCAGCATGAGCCGTTGTTAAGGTCTTTGGAAGTCATGTAAAACAAGTGCAGTCGAGTGGTAGTGTGTCGTTGGAATAGTTTTAATGACAAGGATCTAATGGGAAATCTGCACTTACTAGGGACTTGTACTTACGTTTCTTACTGTTTTAGATTACAGGAAGAAGTACAGAGACAATGTAGCAAGAGAGTTCCATACATTTAAAGAGGTGAATGCTTCTCTGGGTGAGAATGTGACTCTAAGCAGTAGATATACGAAGGTAGTGATGATTACGAACCCTCTGGGGAGAAGTGAACGAGAACATGAAGTCCTGGGTCTAAGAGAAAGACATGCAGAAGTCAGAAGGGAAGATGCTCACCCTGCAGTTACTATAGAAACACTTTTTCAGCCTGATGAAAGAGGTCAAATGCCACAGATCGTTGTGCTGGTGGGTAGCGCAGGGATTGGAAAGACAGTGACAGCAAGAAAGATCATGCTAGACTGGGCAAGAGGAGCCATTTATGCACAATTTGACTATGCTTTCTACATAAACTGTAGAGAAATCAACCTTTCCCAGCAGGCAGATATGCTGAGTCTGGTGGATCTGATCTCAGCTTGCTGTCCTTGTGGAAAGGCACCACCTGAAGCAATCCTGGCTAGTCCCGAAAAGCTCCTGTTTGTCATTGATGGCTTTGATGAACTGAGGTTTTCCTTGGATCAGCCAAAAAATAAACTGTGTTCTGACTGCGTTGAAAGGAAGCCAGTGGAAATCATTCTGAGCAGTTTATTTCAGAAAACTCTCTTGTCTCAATCCTCCTTGCTCATCACTACAAGACCAACAGCTCTTCAGAGGCTGGGGCAGTGTTTAAAGGAGGAGCGTTATGTAGAAATAATGGGCTTTTCAGATGCTGAGAAGGAGGAATATTTCCACAAGTTTTTCAGGGAGGAAGAGAAAGCAATAAAAGCCATTACCTTTGTCAAAAGAAATGACACTCTCTTTGCCATGTGCCTTGTACCCATCATGTGTTGGACCATCTGCACTGTCCTTGAACAAGAACTTAATGAAGGGAAAGATCTTGTCCAGACTTCTAGAACAACCACAATGCTGTACGTGCTGTACATTTCCAGCTTACTCAAGTGTGGGAGTGACGATCTGAAGCAGGATACGAAGAAGTTCCTGAGCAGACTTTGCTGCATGGCTGCTGATGGAATCTGGAAGCAGAAGATCCTGTTTCATGAAAAGGAGATTGAGGTGTATGGCTTAAATCACCCAGTCCTTCTCTCCCTTCTTCTGAATGAGAGTGTTCTAAGAAACCGTATGAAGTGCGTGAGTGTCTACAGCTTCCTTCACCTGAGCTTTCAAGAGTTTTTTGCAGCATTGTTCTATGCACTGGAGGACAATGAGGAAACGGGAGAATTGAGGACACCAGGAAAGGATATAAAGAAAGTGTTAGAAAAGTATCGTGAGTATGATACAAATTGGATATTAGTGGTACAATTCCTGTTTGGCTTGTTAAATGAGGAAACAAGTGAGTATCTGATGGAAAGAACTGGTTGTAAAATCTCATCTAGAATTAAGGAAGACTTATTGAAGTATATTCAAATAGGCCAAGGAATAACTTCATGTCCTAGAGGAGTGATTGACAACTTGAATGTATTTCACTGTTTGTTTGAGATTCAAGAAGAAATGTTTGTGAGCAAAGCATTGGAACATTTCACTGGGCTAGTTCTGGAAGACTGCAACCTGAGCCAATATGATCAAATGGTTCTTTCATTTTGTGTCAGACGGTGGACTGGACTGGACTGCTTTCATCTTCAAAGCTGCTTAGTTGCACTGGAAGACCATGAAAACGAGTTTGTTCCAGGACCTCCAGATAGGTCACATCAGTAAGTATTGCTGGCGGCCACAGGGGTGGAGTTTCTTGATTACATAAATTGGTGTTCTCCCCGTTTTAAAAACTAAAAATGGTTGGAAGTCTTTCCATTATAAAAATCTCTGTGAAGTTAATGCTGATGAAGAGAATCTTCCTGCTCTCATGCTAACAGCATTCCCCTGCTCCTATCCCCTATCCATGTTATTTATTTTTTTACTGATTGACTAAGCCTATTGTGGAGACCACATGTGGAGGCAGGACCTGCTGTGCGAGCAGTTGCATAAAGGAGGAAGAGAGCAGTGAATGCAGATTTTCTCTTCAAAGCCTTTGCTCCTAGGTGAAGGCAAATATCAGCCTGGAGTGATGTTTTTCTGCAGGAAATACAAGCATCTCTCTCCCCTGTACTACTTTTATAGAGACCCATTCTCTGCAGAAAAGGTTTTTAAAGGTATAGTCATTTGCCTGTCTTTAAAATACAAACCAGTTTGGCTCATGCTGTGGAGGGCTTGTTAGGAGTTGGGTAAAACATCATTGTAAAAGTGCAGTTTTCCTCTATGTCCTTCTCATCTGTAGGGTGCAATCTTCTTATTGTGGAGAGGCTTTCTTGTGATACTAGATGACTGTCAAAGCACAATCCTCTACGCTTTGAAAGGAGAGAGGCCTATGACTGTGGAGCTGTCAGCCCAGCAGGAGTGGTCCCGGTGTGGGGATAGAAAATTTCTTTGAAAATTACACCTTTGCTTAGAATTGTCCAAAGGTGGAACTTGGACTGAGACAGAGATGAAAAGAGGCAGGTAGTGTGCTGTGTATTAGAGGAAGGAGCAGTACAGTTATTTGATGTGTGCTATTTCATCAGTGCGCTGTTTTAAGTAATAGTTTCTTTGTTTTTTAAGGGACAGTTAATATTGAGGCCAGTTACAGAGAAAGTCTCCCACCTTCCTAGACTTGCAGAACCCAGCGTACACAGTATCAATGGGATACTGAAGACAAATGCTGAGAAGTTTTTCAGCTTTGGTTTTTCAATGTCTTGCAAATGAAGAAAGGCTGAGGGAGCTGGGACTTTGCAGCCTGGAGAAAAGAAGGCTTAGGGGGATCTCGTCAATGTAGATAAACACCTGAAGGGACAGTGCAAAGAGGACAAAGCTAGGTTCTTTTCAGTGGTCCTTAGTGACAGGACCAGAGGCAATGAGCACAAGCTGAAACACAGGAGGTTCCCTCTGAACATCAGGAAACCCTTTTTCACTGGGAGGGTGACTGAGCACTGGCACAGGTTTCCCAGGGAGGTTGTGGAGTCTCCATCCTTGGTGATATTCAAAAGCTGCTGAACATGGTCCTGGGCAACCTGCTTGAGGTGGCCTGAGCAGGGAAGTTGGAGCAGAGGTCCCTTCCAGCCTCAACCATGCTGTGAATCTATGATTTATGGTCTTTCAGAGATCCACTGTCTCTCCACCACCGCCTGCTTCTGGCTGAAATGTTGCCTTTTGCAGCAGATTTGTGGTAGTGTCCAAGGATGTTCTCAGCCCTTCTACCACAAAGGTGTGGTCCTGCCATTCACTATGTGCTTTGAGGATCAGTTTGATTGATTGTGTGAGATTGCATTCAATGATGACAATTTACTGTTGCTACTCTTCCAGATTTCTTTCAAATTACGGTGGTAGGTGTCTGTTAAACTGGAAAAGCTGCTGCTGCTTTAGGTGTGGCATTGTTAGTCTTCCACTGGAATAGGGTGCGTCAGAGACGTTGTATTCTAACTAGAAAGATTTGTGTTGCAAAGCACAGCTAAAGCTAATGCATTTCTGAAACAAATGATCTGTGCTAAAGATGCTCTTTGAAGTCTTTTGAAGGCCTTTCCCTCTAAACGCAGCTCAGGCTGTCTTGCACTGAGGTTGCAGTGCAGATCTATAGGCAGTGGAGCCCATCAGCAAGCAGTCCACTGGAGATATGCCTTTTCTTCCCGCTGGCTGTCCTCCAAGGGTGTTCTCAATCCTTGCAGCACATAGGCTTCAGCCCTGTTCCTTTCATCCAGGTTCCAGCTACTAGACATCAAATTGATGGCTTGTGTGGGAATCTAAATGTATTCAGTGGATGTTTTTTGCTGCTTTTCAAGGTTTCTTTCACTGAAAGTGTCTCTTAAATTGGAGAAGCTACTCTAATTTGGGGCCTGACATTGGGACTGCTCCACTGGAAGAGGGTGCCTCAGAGGGGAGTTTTTCTTCAGAATTAAACTTTTGTGCATCTAAAGTGCTCGTGTAAGTAAGAGTTCAGAAAGAAAGCTCTGTGCAAAAGATGACCTCATAAGCTTTCCAAGGCTTTTTACCCTGAGGCTGTTTGACATAAAGGCTGCCTGGTCAGAGCTACAGCATTGACTCCTGCCACTGAGGTTTTTAAGTCAGTCTTAACCAGATTGGTGAGTCTTGTTTGTCTTGTGGGCTTCTCACATATCCTCATTCTGAATAGGGACATGCTGTGCACTGCACTATATGAGAGACAGCACTGCACAGGACCTCATGGCTCAGGGGAAGGGGTGCTGAGCCCATAGCTTTTCTTTCTGTTTCTCTGCCCAGCCTTTTTAAAGAAAGTCCCTATCCCTTATCTTGCCTCTGCCTGTCATAAACTCCTTCCTCCCACTATGAGAGCTAAGCTTAAGTGAGAGGCCATGCAAAGCCAGACTGTACTGGAGAGATCCCCTGGCTCAAGAAGACACCGTGTAGATGTATCCAGTTCACCCCCTGCCCTTTGGATGCAAAAGCCCAAGATACGGCCTTCTGCAGCCCATGATTACATGCTCTCCACTTCTCCCTAGGGGTGCTGTCTTCCTGCTAAAAGCTCTGATGGGTGATGTGACCATGCCAGAGTTGATCTGTGCTGTAGAACCCACCAGTGGCATCTGAACACCTGCTGTGGTGGCTCAGCCTGCATTTTATCTCACAAAGCAACCCTGTACCTGTGACTTGGGATGGTACATGGGTCTCTTTTCTGTATCTGTATTTCCACTGTCAGTAGCGTGACTGGTAAGGAGTTTGGGAAGGGATGGTGGTGGTGGTACCCTCTGGGTGTTTCCCCATCAATGTTAGGAAAAAAGCTCCTTTTGTTCCCTCATCACAACTAAGAAAAAGAAAGGAAGCTCCTGGCAGCACAAGTCTGGCACAAGTAGAGTGAAAAGAGCAAGTTTATTGTCCTGCTCCAAATTACACTGATCGAGAGCCTGGCTGCCCAACATGTAGAGCCATACAATGGTTTGGGTTGGAAGGGACCTTTTAAAGATCATCTAGTCCAACTCCCCTGCCATGGACAGGGACATTTTTCACTATATGAGGTTGCTCAAAGCCCCATCCAGCCTGCCCTTGAACACTTCTGGGTTCGGGACATCCACAACTTCTCTGGGCAACCTGTTCCAGTGTCTCTCCACCCTCATCATAAAAGATCTCTTCCTTATGTCCATTCTATATCTACCCTCTTTCAGTTTAAAACTCTTGCCCCTTGTCCTGTCACTACAGGCCCTGGTAAAAACTCTTTCTGCATCTTTCTTATAAGCTCCTCTAGGTACTGAAAGGCTGCCGTAATATCTCCCCAGAGCCTTCTCTTCTCCAGGCTGAACAACCCCAGCTCTGTCAGCCTTTCTTCATAAGAGAGGTGTTCCAGTCCTCAGATCATTTTCATGGCCCTCGTCTGGATCTGCTCTAACAGGTCCATACCTTTCTTGTCCTGGGGACCCCAGAACTGGATGCAGTGCTACAGGTGGGGTCTCATGAGAGCAGAATAGAAGGGCAGAATCGGCTCCCTCAACCTGCTGGCCTTGCTTCTTTTTATGCAGCCAGTGATATGATCGGCTTTCTGGGCTGCAAGCGCACATTGCCAGCTCATACCCAGTTTTTTCTTCCAGCGGTGTCCCTGAGTGCTTCTCCACAGGGCTACTCTCAATCCATTCATCCCCCAGTCTGGATTGATACTGGGGATTGCCCCCCCCCAGGATGTCTCTTTGGACACTGGGCTAGACCCTGGCTCTGACTGCTTTCCAGATCTGTGCAGCTGCAACCCTGAGGGAGGTTCTTGGTCTTATACCAGGGCAGCGGGCTCCTGCTTATAGTACAGTTGGCATTACCCAATGGGCGCAGCTGGACTTGGTCCCTTGGGTCCTGTCTTTAGGAGTTCAGTGCTGTCGTGGTTTAACCCCAGCCAGCAAC